GAAGATCGGGACGTAATATTCCCCGGTTATTCCGGACTCCAGGCCCGACGTCCGATGTGTCCAGGGACCTTCATTACTTCTTGAATAAACGGCATTAAAAACAGTGAAAATCCGTGTCAGCTTCATTTCGCGTACGTACCTCGATTCCGGACCCGTTAGGGGCCACCTATCCCCTAACAAAGGTGGTAAAGAGTTGGTACCACCTCTCCCGCAATTAGGGCTAACGGCGTTCCAGCATTTTCGAAGACGGAGTGATATATAACTCCCTTCCTTCGCGCGCCGCGTAAGTCTTAGTGACAACGCGCGACGGAAAATGCTATGGAACGTCATATCGTGTCGGACAGTGACTTTGAAGAAAGTTTGGAGAACGTGGTGGAAAGCTTATCAAGAATGAGCGGACAAGACACAAGTTGAGACGTCCCTGTGGAAACCTCCAATAGTGCCGCTGCAACGGCTGAAAATAATGTGGTCCCGATGGTGGAGGAGGAACCAGCCAGACGCGCGGAGTACCTGGTGGCTGTGCTTCCTGGTTGGGGTTAACTAAGGATACCGAGCCACGTCCCATCAAGGTCACGGAGGTACCGGTGCTCCGTTGACGGGGGGCGGTGGCTCCTGAAATGGGACCCAGCCGGGCATCTAGTGTCATTACTATATCGGGATCGAGCTGGTCCAACGGCCCAGCCTCCTCTGCGGACAGCTGCTCCTGCGTCGAGCGTCACGTCGAGCGGTCGCTCACTCAATGATCTCCTTCATATTGGGCCGAAACTACATAGAGATATAACCATCATCTTAACGAATTGGCGGCTGTACCAATTCGTGATGGTGGCGGACATTGAAAAGATGTTCCGACAAATTCTCGTAGCCCAAAAGGATAGATGCTATCAATGCATAGTGTGGCGTGCACCAGAATCCGAGCAGCTTACGGCTTTCGGATTAAACACCATGACGTATGGCACGGCGTGTGCCCCATATTTATCCATGCGTACCCTTCTCGAACTCGTGCGAGAGGAAGGAGCTAAGTTCCCACTCGCCGTTCCAGTTCTAGAGAAGGATGTTTATGTCGACGATGTGTTCATCAGCGAACCTGATAAAAAACGAGTGGAAAGCATTCGGACTCGGGTGTGCCAGCTGCTGCAACGAGGAGGTTTCCACTTGAGAAAGTGGGCGGGAAATTCAGCGGAACTGCTGCGAAATATCCCGGTAAGCCAGCTTTCTCATGCGGTCGACCTTTCACTTTTCGAAGATTCGGAATTAAAGGTGTTAAGTTTACGATGGGTACCATCGGCGGAATATTTTTACTTCAATTTAACCAGATTTCAACCATCTGCAACTCCTCCCACGAAGCGTTCTTTGTTCTCCGAGATTGCAAAGCTCTACGATCCCCTTGGTTGGTTGTCACCAGTGGTCATTAGAGCAAAGATACTAATGCAGTCCCAGTGGTTGGAAAAACTGCAGTGGGACCAGTCCGTATCAATGGCAACTCACAGAACATGGAATCACTTCTGTGCGGATTGGAGTAAATTGAACGAGTTAAAAATTCCGCGATGGGTTGGAATAGGAGCAGATGTCATCTCCGTGGACTTGCACGGCTTTTGTGATGCATCGCTCGCCGCGTATGCCGCCGCCGTGTACATACGGGTAAAAACGGCAAATAACAAGGTGGTAAAATCTTCGTTAATGGCAAAATCGCGGGTCGCTCCCATCAAAACGCGTACCGACCCAGTTCTGGAACTGAACGGGGCCTTCCTCCTTACAGAACTGCTAAGACACGTTGCGAATTCGCTTGCGGTGCAAGCAGAGCGTATATTTTGTTGGACGGATTCATCAATTACGCTCGCGTGGATTAGAAAGCATCCGTCGACCTGGAAGCTGGTCATAGCGAACCGGGTGTCCAAAATACAGACCACGTTGCCCACCGCGGTTTGGCGGAACATCCCGACGCGTTCAAATCCTGCCGACTTGAATTCTAGAGAAGTCGATGCAGCAGAACTTCTGGAGTCGAAGCTGTGGACGCAGAGACCATTGTGGTTGCAAAAATGCGAAGCAGAGTGGCCTATGACTCTTACTTCCATTGATACCGACGAGGGTAAACGTGTGTCCTACGCCCACGTCACCACCCCGAAGAGAGAATGGGAGCTGTTATCCCGCTTCTCCAAGCGGAGTCGTCTCCTTCATGTGGTGGCTTACTGTATCTGTTTTTATCGGATACTAAAGGGTGAACGGATTAAGCATAAAACGGCGCTCGATTTCGCCGAGTTGCAGGAAGCAACAAATCGAATCGCTCGGCATTTCCAGCGTATTCACTTTGAATCGGAATATTGATGTTTGGAAGAACATCGTGCAATTCCTGCGAGTTCCCAATTAATCAGTCTGAACCCCTTGTTAGACGAGTATGGCGTTCTGCGAGTCGGTGGAAGACTTAGTCTCCCATGCGATTACCGCATTCTTCAAAGTTTCCAATTATCCTGCCGAAGCACGATGTGTCTACATCGATAATTCGGCAGTGTCATGTGAATACGCTGCACGGAGGAATGCAACTGACGATGGTCACCGTCAGGCAGCTATTCTGGATTATAAGCTGCCGTAATGCAAAGCGCACGGTGATTCATAAGTGCATAGAATATATTCGATGGCGTGCACAGCCATCGGTGCAAATAATGCAGAACTTGATCCCGGAACGGTGTCGTCCGGCGCGTGCATTTACGAATTGCGGAATGGATTATGCCGGGCCTTTTCAAATCCGAGACTCCGCCGGCCGAGGAAAGACGGCGCATAAGGCGTACATAGCAGTTTTCGTCTGCTGTGCAACGCGAACCGTCCATGTCGAACTCATGCACGACTATTCGACAAATGCATTTTTGGCTGCGTTCGATCGCTTCATTGCACGAAAAGGAGTACCCTTCCTGTGTATTCAGCGATAACGGCACGAACTTTGTTGGATCGAATAATGAGTTAACGCGAGAATTCAATCGCTGTTGTAACCCGCCAGAATGGCGCGATAAATGCAGTGGATTGGGAGTGCGATGGAGGTTTAATCCACCCAGTGCACCGCATCACGATGGTATGCAAGAAGCCGGTGTGAAATCGGTGAAACATCATCTGAAAAGGATCATGGGAGATTTCACACCGACCGGGGAAGAAATGCAGACGTTGCTCTGTAAAATCGAGGCGAGTTTGAATTCTCGACCGATTGCCCCGTTAAGCGACAGCGCGGATGAATTCGCGACCCTCACACCTGGTCATTTTCTGGTGGGCGGTCCGCTGAATGCGCTTCCGCGGGAATCTGTAGAAACGGAAAAAGTCACGCGGCTTACGCGTTGGAGAGTTCTACAGAAATTCCATGAACAACTCTGGAGACATTGGACGAGGGATCTCATCTATCTCCAGCAGAGAAACAAATGGCAAACCACTCAGGAGCAGTTGCAGCCTGGCGATTTGGTTTTAATACAGAATCCTTTCGTTCCTCCTAATCAGTGGGAGATGGGGAGAGTTGAAAAAGTATTCCCGGGAACCGACGACAATGTAAGAGTCGTCGAAGTTCGGACAGCAAAAAGTACATATAAGCGGCCGATCACGCGAATGTGTAAATTAGCTGTCGATTAAATTCCCATTAAAATCAAATTCGTCAATAATAATAATAATAATATCGAACGATCGGCGGTAACGCTGTTTTTCTGACATCGGCCGTTACACGGGTATCCAAGGCGATGGAAACAGGTGAGAAATACGATCGTTCGATCGACGTTTGTATACCTTTTTCCACTTGTAATATCGAGGTACCACCTCTTTAGACTTTCCCAAAGGTAGATTCGTGGAATTTCGGATTTGCCTATTCCGAGTACGCACTGGACAAGTGCTCAGTACGCTGCGCAACAATGTCGAGCGAACAAGTCCTGGAAGTGGAGCAAGGAGCGATGACCAGCGCGGATTTTAACAATAAATTCACGGAGTGTTTGATTCTCGCAAGTGAAATGACCTCCCCTCGGAACAGTGCTCACGGGGTGGACACATCCGATATGGACGCGACGAATACGAGTGCGGTGGAGACCCCTCGCCCTCCGGAGCAAGCTCCCGCGACTGTGGACAGTCCAGCGAAGCGATCGCTACCCCGGGACGAGGTAACGGTCACACTCCCGCACTGTACCCTGCGGGTGCCAGGACATGTGCCACGCGGTGCAAGGAGGTATAGGTGCAAGGCTCCCAATGGCCGGTACCTCATCCGCTGGGACCAGGACGGATTCGTTTTGTCAGTCGTGCTCAAGCCCATTCAGGGCAACTCGAGCACCGCCGCGGCTCCACAACCTTCGCCGCCACAGCAACAAAGCGCTTCTCCACCACAAACAACGCAGCCGCCTCCTTCAACCACGGCGACACTAGCTCAGGCAACCGAACCCAGTGCAGCCCCAATTCGGGGCAGAAGACGAGAAAACCGGAACTCGCGACCGTATTCTAGGAATAGACGGGAGGCGCCGCGAAGGGAGGCATCGCCTGTGCGGTCATCGGACCATCGCAGGCCCCGAGAGGACCGACATCGGGAGGACCGGCGATCGGCAGAAGGGCATCGGTCAGACCGACACCGAGCCAGGCGACTGGAGCGACCGCCGGCCAGGACCGCTGAGGCCCAACCGCAGGACGGGACGAACCTGCTGACCCCGGACCACCGAACGCAGCTCGGTCTTGTCCTACAGACCACTTTAAATTTGCTCGGGTTTGGGTGAGTCCCATTCATTTTCTTATTTTCGCGTGTAATTTGCATGTGCTCCTCCGTTCCGCTCTTCAGAATTGCGCGGATCACGCAAAGGGGGCGGTATGTTAAAAATACGCATAAGTCGGAGGGATTCGCATGTGTAACATTCGCCTCCGCACGTAATGCATGCGGAGATTATAGTTCGGAGGAATTAGCTGTCAGCTAATTCCTCGAAAATTAGTACATAATTACGTATTCGCGAGAATTGTGAAATAACGGTCCGGTCTAATTGTTATAGTTAACGCTCGCGGATTAAGAAGTCGTGATCGATTTCTTATGTACCGCAAGCGGTGACTCATACGGGCGTGTATACGCCCGGAGCATGAGTACCAGAGAGTAGCGTATAGTTCAGAGAGGGAGCCGCTTATCGGCAATAATACGTGTGCCGCAGTTTCTAATTATTCCTAAACGGTGTGTCGACCGATGAGCGTCGATACTTTAAATTCGTCGCAAGTTTCTGAGAATTGATTTAATCCGCTTTCCGCCGTGCAGACGTCGTCTGCGATACGGATTAGAACAGCTGTAAGCTGCATAAGGAGTTCCCTAACCCGAATTGGTAATAATTCTGTGACGAACCGTCACGTTATGTCCCCCGACCCCGAACACGGCCACCGATTTCGCCGCCGCGTAATGCGCAGTCGCGACTACACCGGCCGCCGCTAGGCGGCGAAATCACGCGCCACGCGCTTAAGTACCGGTCCTTGAGCCAGGGAAAGGCAGAGTCGATTCTCGCGGACTTTACCGTCCATCACGATTATCACGCTGAGAGACCGTAGCCGAAACGAAGGTAATACGCTCAGCAACTCTCGTACCCAGCCGTTGGCAATTAGAACCATCGACTTCATGCTCCCGCGAATGCACACGGACTTACGTCACTTCGTCGTAGCTCGTTTGCTCGGAACCTCCCCGTTGAGAGGCACGCCGAGAGACCTGCTCCGCTCGTTCGAGACACCCGTGTTTCAGTTTAGTATCCGTAGCTCTAGTACAGTATCCATAGCGTTAGTATAAGATAGCGAATAAGCATTGTCGACTCGTGTAACTCGTTATCCGTCTGCGTCCGCCATAGTATATGTTTAGCATAAGATTCTTTTCACGTCATACGTATATCGCGACGATTCGTTAGCCTTAAACACGCGAACCATTCTTTTCGTAGTTCACGACGACCCATCGACGACACGCCGAACTCAGCGCCTGAAGCAGCGCCCCCGGAGCGGCACCTGTAACCTTAGTTTTAAGTACTGACTGAATAAATTATATTTTTACCAGATATACGTTTACCACCTCATTTCATTACCCGCCTTTAGAATTAAGCACGAAACGTTAGGACCGCGTGACCACTCGGTGGCGCACCTAACCCACTGACTCGGGTCACGCGCGTCACAATTCAGTAAATTTATGCCATTTACAGGATAGCTACTCTTTCGGACTTTAGCACGCAATTTTAAGGCGGTCAAGCCTAGATTGCTCGACTAGTGGATATTCGTGCAACGGAAGTATTTCCGCTGATGAATTTTATGTTCCAAATCGCGTTATATTAAGACGTCGAGTAATTCCGTCTCTTAGCGCACGGAATTTCAGTTATCGTCAGTCTGAGGTAGCTCGGCCGATTCGATTTTAATTCGACGACGTTTGACCGGAGACGTAGGTCTCTCACGATTCTTCTCTTCCCCAATTGATTCTCGAAGGTGTTTCCTTCGGAGAGAATCACTCGATCGTTTTCTGTGCTTGGATCGAGTTCGCTCTCCTTACGAGTCCGTACTTTGGAAGTCGGATCTCTTTGCGGATGCTCTTTTAAGGAGCAGCTTCTTTGCGCGGGTCGTTACCGCTAATGCCCGCTCTGCAATTCTCTATTGTATCCGGGTTAAGACTAGTGCCAAGAGGTACATACGTCCTGTGTGACGTCCTACCGGCTATCATCCTCTGGGCAGTCGTTCAACCAGGCGTCCGTTTGAACGTAATGTTGTAATTCACGGCTCGTCGATCAAGCGGTTTGTAACGCCGTAATACCGAGTTCCTAAGAGAAGAAATTGATAGTTATCTTGGTACGACGTGTCCGACGCAAGGCTCACTGCAGTTTCGTCCTGCGTCATCCAAGTGCAACCGAGGACGATATACGGAGTGCATACAACATTTCGAGTTTCCCGAGGTATCGGTCGAAATACTCGAGTAAGTCACGAGGTACAGAGCTGTTCTCTGTTCGATTTTACGTTAGCTCAGTTACGGAACTTGTCGAAACAAATGAATCTTGCCACTTCCGGCAATAAAGCCGATTTAATGCTACGGCTGGAAGCAGTTTGTCCGGATGGTTCCTGGATGGATAAAATAATGGAGATATCAAATCCTACTCAGGAGACAGGTACGTCTGGTCAAAGGCACGATGTTAGCATCATTAAAAGGAATACGCAAGCCATGGAAATGGAATATATGAAGAGAGAAGCAGAACTACTGCGTAGGGAGCTCGAATTGTCACGTAGAGAGACTGAGATGTTAAGAAGTTCTCCTCAGTCTTCAGTTTCTGCGACTGAGAGTCCTAACGTGAGCATTAAGGCCATGGGAGACCTTTTAAGTGATTTCGATGGATCTGGCTATACGTTCCCTCCTTGGGAAAAGCAGGTAAGAGTGTTGCGTGATATCTATAAGCTGGATGATAACACCACGAGAATTCTGGTCGGGACCAAGTTAAAAGGCAGGGCGCTGCAATGGTTCCATTGGAAGCCAGAACATCTTGCTATGAACGTCGATATGTTGCTGCAAGAATTGAAAGGTATGTTCGATCATCAGTTTAATAAACTGCGGTTAAGAAAGAAATTTGAGGAATGGCTATGGCGATCAAACGAGAGCTACAGTGAGTATCATCATGACAAAGTGATTATGGCTAACCATTTGTCAATCGGTGAGGAGGAAATGATCGATTACTTAATCGAGGGGATTCCGATTCATTATTAAAAAACCAAGCGAAGATGCAATCGTTTAAGTCGCTGTCTGCATTATTAACCGCATTCGACAAAATTAGCTTGAAAACGGATGTCGGTACCAAGAAGAAACTTTCGTTTCTTCAAAGAGCAAAGATGATTCTATTACAACTAAAGAAGTGAATAAGAAGCAATTCCGATGCTTTAATTGCAATCAGGAGGGACATTTGGCGTCGTCTTGCCCTAAGCCAAGAAAAGGGTTCATATTATACTTGTGGGTCCATGGAGCACAATTATAAGGAATGTCCCAAATCCAAGCGAGACAAGAGCGGAACGACGGCTGTTGTTGATTTGTCGAGAGAACCACAGAAGCCATCGGTTCAGCATAAGGAGAGAGTACCGCCCAGAACTCCGTTGACGGAAGTTACTCACGGATGCTGCGTGCTGGTATCGGAAGCGAAGGAATACGACTATTTCATCGAAGCTTTAGTAGACTCGGGCAGTGCAATCAATATTGTTAAGGAAAGCACCTATTTAGAATATTTTCGTGAGTATGCATTAGTACGAGAGAAGTGCGAGACCAACTATGGTGGAATGAGCAAATCACCTTTGATAGTTTATGGGTATGTTACTGTAAAGTTACGCATTAAGTCGATACCGAGCAATATTTTTACAGTCAAATTTGCAGTTGTACCTGATTCTACAATGACTTATGCCCTTTTATTGGGTCGCGAGTTTCTATTTCAGCCTGGATTAATAGTAACCATTAAAGGCGCGAATTGTCTGGAGTTAGAGTATACAGACTCAGCTGCCAGTATTTTAAATATTGAAGTTGTGGAATGTAGTAGTAAACTAGACTCGGTAGCAGATAATCTCGATACAGAACTTCCCTATGAAGCTAAAACTGAATTGTTGTCTTTATTAGATATGTGTGTACATACTAAAGATGGTACGGGTAAGGTTGACTATGAATTTAATATAACGTTAACGGATACAAGTAAGCCGTTTTATTCTAACCCTCGACGTTTGTCTTGGTATGAACGAAGTGAAGTCAAGCGAATTGTTAATGACCTCTTAGAACGAGGTATAATCCGACAAAGCAATTCTAACTTTAGTAGTCCCATAGTATTGGTTAAGAAGAAAGATAATAGTTACCGAATTTGTGTGGATTATCGTGCATTGAATAAAATCACGGTCAAAGATAGATTCCCTCTTCCACTGATTGAGGATCAAATTGACCGCCTAGCGAATAGCTCTTATTATACAAGTCTTGATCTCAAAGATGGATTCCATCAAGAAGCTATGGATTCTATTAAATTCACATCATTTGTGACTCCAGATGGTCAGTTTGAATATGTGAAGATACCTTTTGACTGCCAAACGCACCTTCTGCGTTTCAACGAATTGTAAATATAGTTTTTAAGCCTTTACTCGATAATGGACTAATACTTCTGTATTTAGATGACATTTTAATCGCTACTAAAACGATTGAAGAAAATTTAACTATTCTTCGTGAAGTTCTACCTTCTGCACCCGATTATGTATTTTAGTCGTCGAATGACTGAAACAGAAAGTAAATACCACAACTATGAACTTGAGACAATGGCTATTATCTATGCGTTAGAAAGATTTCGAGTTTACCTACAAGGAATTGCATTCAGTGTTGTGACTAATTGCAGTGCTGTGAAATTAGATCTTAGTAACCTTATGATGATCTTTCAAAACTATTCCTTTGAAATTGTACATCGTACATCAGAACGAATGAAATATATAGATGCGTTAAGCAGAAATGTATTAATTATAGAACCGTTACCGTTTGAACATACTTTAGTGTATAAGTGTAACTCCAAGACCCGATTTTTGCATCGTTGCGTTAAACGCACTGCTGCAGTTCGTCATCCTCGAGGCCGGCCTGGTGCGGTAAGTTACATCGCGCCCTATAGGGTCAGGTCTCGAAGCTCGTTGCTACGAGCTTCCACCAGTTAGGCGGTGTGGAGAGACGAACGTTGAGCGTGATTCTGCTCCGTTTCACGGCAAGGGACTTGCTGGAAAAGCCGCTGCACTTATCGAGAAAAGAATACAGTCCACTGCGCAGAGTTCTGCCCAGAAGCGGCAATTCTTTCCGCACGAGCTTGAAGTGCGACGAAATACTCATTAATTCGCATTTGCAACATTACAGAAATTCAGAACGTCGAAGACGTTGAATCGAAGAAGGAGGCATAAGAGGACGAGCACTGACGGCGCCGACATACCCGACGAAAACTGGGACGGACCATTCCCCGGCTATTCCGGAAACCAAGCCCTGAAGTCTTGCGTCCCAAGTGCACTTCATTGAATACACGGGATTTAACAAGTGAAAACCAGTGTCCGGTTTATTTCGCGTTTATACCTCGATTCCGGACCCGTTAGGGGCCACCTGTCCTCTAACATATATGTATGTGTAAGATACATGGGATATGTATGTGATATATGCGCGTGTTTGAGGAATAATCTCAAATTCTTAAGGCGCTCTCGCATAGAACATAGGATCATGCGATCGAAGCCCGAATCGATGAGCCAATCATCAAGGACCGCGTACGTGCGCAGGAGACGCATAAATCACCTCCTGCGCAGGAAGAAGCCAGGCCCCGAATTCACGGCCAACGGTCCTTACTGTTCGTTTCGGAGCCATCAGCACTAGACGCACTTTTCTCAGAGCAATCGCAATCAGTTTCTAGCTCAAATTCTGTGAAATTAATATAATCTCACGGGCCGTAACTTCTAGTTCGGATTGATTAACTCAGAAATCAGTAAACTCTCGCGTTTAATACAAACGACGAGAGCGTGAACAATCTAACTCAGTGCAAACAGACATTTTGTTGTAAACTCAGTGCGAACTTCAACTCAACGTTTAAAGTAAGATCATTTATTGTACGACAGTTTTGTAAGGCGAGAACTTTATTGATTGATTAAACGCGCTTTAAACATCCAACGCCTCCCTTGGTTTGCAGAAACACCGTTATCCGGAACCACCTCGCATATTCTTGCAATTCACACTCATTCCCATACAGCGCGAGAGGCGATGCGCAATGTAGGGTACGTTACAGAAGACTTTCGGATGAACTACACGTTAAGACGCGTTTTTCCATCCTGTTCAATTTAAGAAATATATCGAATCTTTTGTTTCATTAATACGCTTAGTTGATTATTAAAGCTCCTTTGACAATATAAAAATGTTTTGTCTATAATAATTTGTTTTCACTTTACACTTTCTTCTTTCATCTAGTTGCTGCATTATTGTTATAAGTTTAAATAATAATTGGCACAGAATC